TCTGGAGTACTGTGTCCAGTTCTGGGCTCCCCAGTTCAAGAAAGATGAGGAGCTACTGGAGAGAGTCCAGTGGAGGGCTATGAGGTTGACGAGTGGATTGGAGAATCTCTCCTACAAGGAAAGGGGTGAGGGAGCTGGGCTTGTTCAGCCTGAAGAAGAGAAGGCTGAGAGGGGACCTAATAAACGCCTATGAATATCTGAAGGGTGGGCGTCAAGGGGATGGGACCAGACTTTTCAGTGATGCCCAGTGACAGGACAAGGGGCAATGGGCACAAACTGAAGCATAGGAAGTTCCATCTGAACATGAGGAAGAACTTCTTCCCTCTGACGGAGCACTGGAACAGGCTGCCCAGGGAGGTTGTGGAGTCTCCTTCTCTGGAGATATTCAAGACCCACCTGGATGAGGTCCTGTGCAGCGTGCTGTAGGTTTGGAGGGGGGGTTGGACTAGATGACCCACAGAGGTCCCTTTCAACCCCGAACATTCTATGATTCTGTGATTCTGTAACTTAGCTACAGAGCAGACCAGGAGGACAGCACGAATGGTCTTTGTTTTGGTTCATTTGTTAACAAAACTTTTACAAACAATGAATGCTTTGGATCTCTTCTTTTTTTTTTTTTTTTTTTAATTTTTCCTTTATAAAATATGTGAGAAATTTGGGTATGTCGGTTAAGTTACAGTCTCGTCAGGAGATTAACCTGATACTTACGAAATAAATTTTTTTCAGTGCTTACTCACCCAGGCTATGACATCTTCACTTAAAAACTTTGATGATGTATGGATAGATATTATTTTCCTGGTCTGTACAGCTACTTATTTTTCCAGTTACACAGTGATGAAACACACTGAATATCATTGGCAAAGCAAGGAAATGTTCAGGGAAAAGATGATAAGAAGTATGAATCTATATTTGCTTTGCTTTTTTTTGAGGGAAGATCACAGAAGGCTTTAAAACTGCTTGACCCTTTCCCCTTTAGCACCAGTATATGCTCCTGCAATCACATCAGAGGCAAGGATTGTCTGTCCCCCATTCACTTCATCATTTAATTCAAAAGTGTGTCTGTCCACTGCCATAGTTTTCGTCAAGATTTGTAATGCTTCAGAAGTTCACAAAAAATGTATTTCATAAATCTTTTTATATAATTTATTTTTAGCCAGAGTATGTTTAGAATGAAACTCTGAAAAGGTGGCACCTGATCTCCTATTTAGAGGGGAATAGTGTTTTGATTTATTACTTACAAGTGCTGGGATTTAAACACAAATCTGCCCCCTGCCTCTCCTCTCTCTCCCCCCAGTACTTACTTTAGAATAATCATTAAATGTTTACTTAATGTAGCTGGATGCATATGTTGACCTAACCTATTTGAGTGTCAGAACATTCTCAGGGGCATAGTAGCTGATTAATACCCGCTATTACTTGTGGAGCAAATTGTTTTTAAAATTAAGGGAGAGGTTTAAATTTAATGATCTCTGCTCAGTACACCGTGGTAAAGATGGAAGAATCTTTGTTGATTATTTTTTGTTCAGACTATAAAATCAATCAAAAGCTGTTTGGAATAAAGTGCATGATCTTTTCACAATAACGTAAAAAATTAGAAATTTTAAATGAAATTTCACAGTTCTTAAACAGAACTCCTAAATAGAAATGTTACATATTTCATATAGAAAGGCAAAACCATGTAAGCATTGCTCCTATTGAAACCTTTCCAAATTTCATAATTGTAAACCTTTCCAAATTTCAGTAATAAAGATTTTTTTCTCACATGGTCATATGTGTATGTATAGATAAATTAATTGGTATTATGTATTATACAACTTGTCCTTGTTTTCTGTTTTAACATCTGTGGGTTTTTTTTTTTTACTTTTTTATGTTCATATTTTAAACACAAAACCACGTCTTTTATAATCTGAACAAAAAAAACTCCCAAGAAACTCCCTTGAGATTCCTCCGTAGGTTTTTCTTTTCTCACGTATTGTGAAGAGGAATTCTTTTGAAGTTTATCTTTCCTTTTTTAACTTACAGATTTTCCTTTCTCCTTACTTGTTTCAAAGGGAAAGTGAAACTGGGGAGCTATCCAAAAATTCAGAAGCTTGAGTTCAAAGACTCGGGAAGGAATCTTACTTTTATAATTTGGTGTTTCTTTATAATTCTGTCAGCTTTTATTTCCTTTTTTTTTTCATTTTAAGGGGAAAATCCAATAGCTGCAGTTACATCCCTTTTTTCTATCCATTTGTTAAGTAAAGACAGTGGTTAATGAGAGTATAAAAGATGTAGTTCCTGAGAGTATCAAGTAATGCTTTCGATTTTGAGAGACATCCGAAGACGTTTCAACTTTTAAGTTGCATTTAAGAATTTGTGACTACATAAAAATGTTTGTGTGTTGATTAACAATAAAAAGGGGACTCTATAATTCTTCATGTACAATATTTTGTCAATATGCAAACCCCTTGTGATGTCGTAATCATTAACACTGTAATCTAATTTCCCATATTCTACCACAATTCGTTCATTATCTGGCAAGAAGTGATACACCACTTGTTTGAAACATGTACTATTTGAGCAAACTAGTATAGTTACTACTTTTTATTTTCTTCTTGTTCCATGTTACTTTTTATTTTTATATTTTCTTACATTTCTGTATTTTTCAATGACAGTAGTGATTCTTTTATGTAGTGAAATCTGGTAGTAATTAAGAATTTTCAAATTCCAGCAGTACACAATAATAAATCCTTCAATATTATGACATCTGTCACTGGAAGAGTATTTGCAAAAATAACAAAGGAGTTAACCTAGGATGAATCTGGATGTGATGAAACTTGATATTCCTTTAAAAACTTATAAATTGCTCTTATTTTTCTGTGCTCTATACAATATAATTGGTAATAAGAGAGTGACAGAGGAAAGCGGAATGGATAACGCTGATTTTATTTACAACCGTTTAAGTCACTCATTCGCTCACACATTCTTTCTCTTTCCCAACTGTAAAATGATGATGTCAGACAAAAAAACAAACACACTAACTACTTACTGCAATTCTACAAAATTTTAAAAAAATGTTCTTAAATTTTGTTTGCACAACTGATAAACTTTCTATGTACATTCAATAATGTGGGAATCGGCTGGGCCACGGGCGGTCTTGATGGTCTTGGTGGAATACAGCCATATCGATGAGCTAATTATTTTGTTCACCTGTGGCTGAAAAACAGGAGGAAAGGAACGAAGAAATAGGATGGGAAAACCCAACTCTTCGATAAGCGTGAAAGTCGTATGAACGGACACATGATGACCAATCAGAAGAACAAAGGAGCTACACGCCAAAAGACCCTCACCAATGAGACTCTGGGGTGGGGGACAAGGGGATATAAAAATGTTATGATTAACCATTCAAGTGCTTCTGCTGCTGCTTCTGCTTGCTTTTGCTTGCTTTGTGACTGCTGTAACTTGTTGTGGCGTGCTGCCACAAATGGTGACCCCGACGTGATGCCATCTCACTGAGGCATCGACTGCAGATGGTGAGCGGTGACGGCAGAGACCAACGAAGCTATTGGAAGGACAAGGAGAGTCTGTAGCCGTCCGGCAATTTTGACACCTGAGAGGTGAGCCGTTGGGAATGCACGCGCGCAAATTTCTGTAGAAGAAAGGTCTATCCTGAATATACTAATGCGTATACTCGAAAAGTGTGGCATTAAGTATAAAGAATGAGCTGTGCGCACACTTTTGCTATGCCTTAAGCGTAATGAGATGCCTGCTACTGCTAAAACTGCCTTTCATATAGACATGGGAGAAAGCAGGAAAAAAATTTTTTGAGGCTGCTTCTAAAGGGGATCAGGTTGCAACCCAGTCTCTGACGACGTGGCGATTGGTTAAAGACTCACTAGCTCAGCTGCAGGCAGATAAAAAAGCAAAAGCTGCTGCTGCGAGTGCTACCGACCCCAAGCCGCCTTCTTGGCCAGTGTCGCCTCCTACCTTCCCTCTGCCCACGGCACCACAACTCCCCCCTACTGAAGGGGCTCAGCACACTGCGGGAGAATCGGTCGATCCTGCATCAATACCTCTCCCTGAGTCTCCTCATTCCTCATCACCTGAGCCTCCACTGATTGACTTGTCTGATACGGGGGGTACTGGGATGGAAGATACATGTTGTATTAATAGGGCCGGGGCACCTGAGTCTTCTGTTGTTACTGAGTTGTGTAGTGTCTCCCCCACGCGTGTAACTATTGCTGGTTCTGATCCAGCTAAATTCTGGAAACACCTATGCCAGCAGGCTTGGGACGACGGTGATGTTGAAACAGCTAAGGTAAAGAGGGTGGAAATAGCTGCTTCTCCGGTTTATCAGGCTGGCGGTGCAGCAGGAGAATGGGAACCTTTTCAGCGGGGAGTCATCAAGGAATTGCGTTCAACATGCATGCAGCGTGGCCTAGGATCCCCGTATGCTCCGTCACTGTTACGCTCAATATTGACCGCTGAGCTCACACCACGTGATTGCAAGGGTATCGCACAAGCCACCTTAACCAGAGCCCAGAGCCGTGAGCAGGGGCTGGGTCCAACAGACCCTGAGCAGGAATCGGGTCTGTCCCCACCCCCGGCTCGCTGAACGATAGTACAGTCAGCTACAAAGGAACGAAAGCTCCATTAAAAGATTTTATAATTTTGAAAGAACAAAGTCTTGTAGCTTAACATCCCTGAGGAAATCATTACTTGGAAATCAGTGCATACAGCTTTAAATGCTCTAAAACCCGCAGAAATTCTCTTACAAGCTGCTGCTACTCCTCCACCGTTATCTCAAAAGCAGGGACAGAGCCGCAGTCTTTTGAAATCTTTAACCCCACACACGATGCAATTCCTAATCCAACGTGAGAAATGCGGTAGGTAAATCCGCCAGAACCTGATGATCCTTTTAATCCAGAGAAACAGGAAGTGGGGCGCGAAACCGGGCACCCCGAAAATGTACAACAGGGTCCCTCTACAGCAACCGGCGGACCCGACCAGGGATCAGAGCAGGGCGAACTCCAGCGTAAAGCCGTGCAACCCCTCCGACACAGGACGGCCGCAGCGCCGGGCCGGGTCTGGCCACAGCGCCAGCGGTCACCGCAC